TTACGAACCCTACTCCTGGGTAAAAAGGAGGTTACGAACCCCACTCCTGGGTAATAAGGAGGTTACGAACCCTACTCCTGGGTAATAAGATCATGTTCAAGTATGTCGGTGATCGTTGTGGCGTGCTAGTTAAGTTGAGCTCGGGGCCCCCTTTTCGTAAAGAATGTCTATTTCAAGAAAATCATTTACAAGTCCGGTAAATATTTATGCATGAGCATTTGCACTCATTATGTATGTTGGTTCATTTTATATATATGATGTCAAGAATGGAATATAGGATTAGGACTGACCCCAACGCCCGCATTCAGGAATGGTATAAGTACATAAGCACGCATATGGATTCAGCATCATTGGCTCGAGTGCACTCCAGAAGGAAGAGGTTAATTTCATTACTTTAGTGGGACGAGAGACTTGATGTGATTTTACGATGAAGATTTATTAAGACAAATATCTCAAGGTTGTTCATGTTTTAAGTATTGTTAAATGTACGAGGTTTCCGCTGTTGTTCAAAGCATTTTAATATTCGTTACTTTTCAAGGGTATTTTGGTAAAAGTAGCACCCTATCGGGTTAGGGTGTTACAAAATCTATATCGACCATATACACATAACATAATATTTGAGCACATAGGAAGCAAGTCCACTTGTTTCTCCGATGCACTTGTCTTCTTCACCTCCAACATCACTGTCTATGTTATTGTACCCTCCATCTCTCTCTCTCTCCTTACATCTATTCTTTCCCTCTTTCTCTTTCAATATTGTGTGTTTTGTGGTCCTTTCCCCATTCTCTTTATAACACAACACTCTCTTATCACTTTCTTCCCCATTACTTCCATTCCATTCCATCATCTCTTCTCTCCCTCTCTTCCTCTCAAAACAAACTCTAACATATAATCCCTCATTGAAAGCTTCCCCTCTTCCCCATTCCCATATCTCTTTTTGCTCTCTACTTCTCCTTTTCAACTTACTTGTTAGCCAGCCACATCTTCCCGATATTGCAAGCTTGGAAAGGTTGTTGTTGTGTAGCGAAATAAACACAAATCATCTTTGTGGAACAACGACGACAATGTCGAGCCGGAGAACGTCGAGGCAGCAGTCTTCAGGTGTGCCGAGGATCAGCGACGATCAGATCATCCAACTTGTCTCCAAGTTACGTCAACTCTTGCCGGAGCTTCGCCACAGCCGCCGCTCCGACAAGGTATATTTATACATGCTTATTCATTTATTTATTTATGCCTACACCACGACTTTGACTTTTCCTTAGCTAGCATGGCGCATGGCAATAAGGGAGCACATGAATAGAATATTTAGTAATTAATTAGTACAATGTAAGTTATCATGGTAAACGAGAAAGTGATTAATAATGTCTCACTACGCCTGCTGAGGAGCAAGTAGTCGTAATAATATTGTTGTTTGTTCGACTTCAACCTGAAGGCTGAAGCTAGTTAATTAGGACGATAATAATGACAAAAGTAGATCGGAAGGGGAAGCAAGCTCCCCCGGCGGCCGGCGGACATCAAGGACGAGATTTAGAAATGAGTGCATTTAATTTAATTTATCTTGTTTGGTAAAACCCAATAAATGAATTAAGGTCAAACTTTGCTACAACCATTTTGACTCGTAAGCAAATCCCGGAAAGGAAGGCGCAAGGAAACCAACAAAAAGGAGAAGGATGCTAAGCTTAAGCTAGACGACATAATAACGGAAAACTGAAAGTAAAGAAAAGGAAAGGAAGAAAAGAAAAGAGAAAAATAGTCATGATTAATGACCGAGTCTTTGCTTTTCACTGCCTGCTCCCTTGATTTGTTCACTACTCCACAGTAGAACATCATATTATTCACCGAAAGAAACTAAGGTAATAAATCGGAAAACTGTGTTTTACGTGACAGGTGTCGGCGTCGAAGGTGCTGCAGGAGACATGCAACTACATACGGAGCCTGCACAGGGAAGTGGAGGACTTGAGCGACCGGCTGTCGGAGCTGCTCTCCACCATCGACGCCGACAGCCCCGAAGCCGCCATTATCAGGAGCTTGCTCATTTGATTTGATTTGATGTCATCCATCGCGCCATCTCCACTTCAGCTAGCCACTCCGATCCATATAATAATATTTCTTCTATATTTATCGAAATATCAATTGACACAAACAATATCTTAATTAAGTTTATGTATGTATGTGTGTGAGATCGATGTATGTATGTGTGTATGGCCGTGCAGTGCTAGCCATCTCTAGTTTACTGAAGCCGGCCGGCTGTATATCTTAATTACCGACCCCACCATCTATCCCTACCTAATTAATTTACTTGCCTTAATTAGTTACTGATTATATATATGTATGTATTTTGGGTTTAATTAAGACTGATCTTCTGGTGAGACCTAGCTGCCTAATCAATGATATACCTATCTATCTATCTGTTGGCTAGCTGCTGGTAGGCCCTGCTTCGATGACGTACGTACATCAAATTAAATAAGAATATTTATTTATACATAATATGTTAGCAGAGCGACTTCAATGTAATATTGTAACGTCCATGAGCTGCCACATGCAATGCAATATATTGTAACTAATTATTAATATTGTAACATATATAGGCAGAGGAAGAAGATAGATAAGGTACGTACGTGATTAACCTGCAGGCAGGCAGGCAGAAGATAATTAATTAAATGAAAGAGGAAAGTGTACGTTACCCACAAGCGAGCTTACAAAATGGACACTAACCAATTAAGTGCCACCTAGCTAGCTTGATAATTAATTAAATGTCAATCCACCAAATGCTTAATTATCCTTCACTCTATCACAAACCAAAACTAGATGGAATGAAAATTAAACTTGTTATTGCATGTCCAAGGCAACTATATCTCATCATGACACAACTGAGATCAACCCATGTGTACGTAGAAGAAATGCTCTTTAGAATAAATGAATTACTAACACAAAGCACATTAAACGTTGCTATTTTCACTTGAAATTAAATATTTTTCAATAATACTCTCTCACAAGCAAACACGCTGATCAAGACCTTAATGCAAGCTCATGAGAACTGCCACACTTTCCGACTTCGCTGCAATATTGCATCTAAGTGCATAATTTACTGTTTATTTATCTTCTTTTTTCGACGATTATGGCTAGATATTTATTCAAGAATAGTTCGTCCATGATTCTAATCAGACGCTATATAACTAAAACTCTCTTAGAGTTAGAGAGATGAGCCTTCCTTCATTCTACCAAAATTTATTTTTTGGTAATGTCTATTTATTAACCAAACATTTTCCGGATTCTTTTATTTTTATCCAAACCTATTGGAATACTATTATTAACCAAACGTTAAATCTCCGTAAATTTTTTTGTTTGATGATGGTGAGCTGTCAGATGTGGTGCTGAGTTGGAAACAATATTCTGAAGTGGCAGTAAAAAATGCCACATCAGCCGGTCAATCATTGACCATCTTTTATGCAAGCCAAACCTATTGAATTACTAATAATTAGCCAAATGTTAACTTTCAGTTAGCAATTTGTTAGTAATATGGACTTGGCAACATGATATTGACTTGGAAGAGACACATGGATGTCAACATTCCAAAATTTTAGTATTTTAACTAAGAAAAGAGTTACAAAATTATTAACGATAACGTAAAAATGGCTAATATTTTGATGCATTACAAAACATTTGGTCAATTATTAGTAATTCAATAGGTTTGGCTAATAAAAAATAGGGCAATGTCTATTTTTTACCCAAACCTTTTTCAGATTCTTTTATTTTAACCAAACCTATTGAATTCCTAAAAATTATCCAAACGTTAACTCTCCGTCAACTTTTCTTTTAGTAATGCTGACTAAGTATGACCATAATGAGTTGACTTCCTACGTGGCGGTCCGAATACCATCATTTACTATTTTTAATAAAAAGATTATCAAACCTTTATAAAAAATAAAAATAAAAAAGATTATCAAAAAACAAAACAAAATCCCACCTCTCACGTGGACGAAATAAGTAACGGTAACAGAATGAATGCCCAGACTTTGATAAATTATAATATGTTTGGATAATAAATAGAATTTCTATAGGTTTTGTTAAAATAAAATAATCTGAAAAAGGTTTGGGTAAAAAATAGACATTGCCCTAAAAAATAATGATAGTAAGGTGTGACTAATAATTAGTATTTACCCAATTTTGTTTTATTTATTGATGAGGTGGCGGGTGAGTTGGACGCTGAGGTGGAGCACCGTTGAAAAATAGTTAATGATAATGAATTAATGGCTATTACCTGAACGTGTTACAAAACGTTTGGCTAATTCTTAATATTCCGATAGATTTGATTAATAAAAAAATAAAAAATATTTAGCTAATAAATAATCATTATACTTATTTTTTTAATAAAGGTGATATAGTTTCCTCCTAGCAAACTTTTTCCCCATGAAATCCTGAGTGAATTTAAGTAGTCGAAAAGAAATTATATGAACAATAATATTAATGAGGAGGGTGCTTTTTGTCGGCAAGTAGGAATCAAAGTGGCATAATGGCCTCATGGCCAAAGCCTAAACCGTCTCATTTAGATCCATGCATGTTTTTCGATAAGATAGATCATAGATAGGATAGGCAGGCAGGCAAATAGACACGATCGATGTTTAGCTAAATGTCATGCTCATACAGATTTATGATTGTTAGTTAGGCCACTCGGTCCTAATTAATTAATTTGGTCAATTGTTTTTGTGCATGTCATTACGTACTTGAAAGTTGAAACCTCTTCGCCTCCCTTCCGTTTCATCTGTTCCGGGGTCGATGAAGTTCTCCTCGCCAAGCTGAGTAACTATTGCCTAAAAGCTCACAGCGGTTCACAAATAAGGGTGGGGAGAAAAGAGTTCGTCGGATCGTTCCAATTTTATCGGATGTCGACCATCTGGTGGCGCGTGACGACGGTGATGCTCCCGAAATTGACGTAGACGACGGAGTTGGGGGGCTTTGTGCTGAGCCAATTGAGGCACTCCGAGTCTTCGATCCAGAGGCTAGGGCAGGGAATTGGGGGCGATTTGGTCGATCATGAGGTGGAGCGGGCCGATCGGGTAGATCGGCGGGAAGGCGGCGTCGCCGGAGGAGAGGGAGTCGAGGAAGGTGGACTCGAAGGGGCGGAAGGTGTTGAATACGACGGCGGAGGCGCGGGAGGTTCGGTCGATTTCGCGGATGAGGAAGTTGAGCATGCCGTCGTCCGGGTCGGTGGTTCGGATGAAATTGGGGAAGTCCTTGAGATGGATTCCTTCCATGGCTGGGATTCCGGCCACCGGCGTGGTCAGGTAGCCGTTTGTGAGGTCCTTCTCGTCTGCGATGTGGCAAAACAGGGGTAAGAGAAAGAGAAATTGCTCGGACTGTTACAAGCTTGCCCGGACTGCTACAAGCCTGCCCGCCGCCGCATGTCCATCTCGTAGCGCCGACGATGATCACTCGGCCGTCCGGTAAAATCTGGTTCGTCGCGGGGAGACTGACGGTCTCTTGTGAATGCGTCGGTTACAATCACCAACAAGGTGGCAGTTACGCTTCTTGGCCCAGATAAGTACTCCCTTATCATTTATTTATTTCTTTATTATTAATATTATTATTATTAATTTCGTTCCCGTAATAATTATCCTTCTTACTTTATTTGTTTTTATTTATTCTTTCCATCATTTTTCATATTTCTCGTACGTATCTATTGCCTTATTTTTATTATTCTATACTTGCACATTGTTAGGTCCCCGAAATTTAGGTTGTTTCCTTTTATTAAAAAAAAAGAAAGAAAGAAAGAAAGAAGAAAAGAAAGAAGGTTTAGGTTTGTAACGGGTGGTGCCGGTTATCTAGGGTTTCCCGATGACCCGGTTTTCTATTTCAAAGGCGAATTGCTGCCTTGTGTCTCTGTTGACCTATTGGCTCTTTGGCCTGGATTGTCCTAGTAGGGGCCTTTGTTTGCTCATTTTGCAGGTGACGATTCAATTACACAGTAGTCGATCGGTGACGGCTGTCTTGTTCACTAGGTGGCCTTTTGATGAGATTTGATGGAGCACTTGGGAATGGCGCCCCTGATGTTGAAGGAACCCCTTGAACACTATTAATGTTTAGTTTGATGGTGCGGTCAAGCATAGTTACGAAGGTAGTATTGGCTTTGTGGGTTTTCAATCGTCAGGTAATATTCTCTTTGTTTTCGGAAAGTGTTATGAAGGATTACACGATTCATTTGTTATACTGGAGGTCATACAGTGGTGCCTGACACATTCCTTTGTCTCTGTCAAATTTCATGGGAATTCACAACACTTGATACGGCGGGATGGTGGGAGGCGATTTGGCGCATGATCGGGGTGGAGCTCTACTGGAGGATGCTCGGAGCTTAGCTTCTCAGTTCAGCTTGATTTCTTACTGCTTTGTTTTTCGTCGACTTTATAGGGCTGCCCATCATGTGGCACTAAAGGCCCTCTCATCGGGAGTTCGATTATTGGTCGACTCCCGCGACTTTCTTTCTTTCTCCTTGTGACTATCTTTTCAATACTGACTTTGCGAAAAAAAAAAAAGAAGTTGAAACCTGCTGCTGCTGCTGTTGGATCAGTCTACCTAATTATTTTGTATTATTCGTGAAGCCAAGCCAAGCCACAGATTCAGATTTCAGACTACGCTATCATCGTCATGATTGATCTTATTAGATGACGATGCATGGTCTTATTAGGCTAACTAGGTTTTATTAATTCCACGTAATTCCAATTCAGAATCTCGTAGAATCAAATTGAATAAGAATTATTATATATGGTTCAGGAAACCTTTTTGATAAACAAATTTAGACGAAAATTTTAAAAACCTAGCAGGCTCACGTTGGCAGCAGTCCAATCGATCTAGTGGTCTCTAGAGCAAGCAAAGCAGTCAATGTCGAACAAAGAAACATGGCATTATTTAATGCCTCCATGCCTGGCAGGGCAGAGCAGCCACAACCGCAGATGGAAAGAAATATGGGTATCTCACATAAATAATGTTACCTAGAAAGAATTATCAGTATTAATTATTCTTAATTGGCTGATGTAAGGACAAGGGAAACTGAGAAAGAAGAGGGTGTTCTTTAATATCTTCTCTTTAATAGCTTGAGAGAAGACTAGAGAGCTTAAGTTCATGATTTTAATTTCTTTTATGCGCCAGTGTAAGGGTTTGAACTCTACCTAAAAGAGCTCACCTTGAGGTTAGATCCTCAATAACAAAATCCTAGAAATCTACGTCTCAAGGGGCAGACACCCTTAAGCCGATAGATAAACTCTAAGCTAAATTTGATTAAGAAAAAAAAATCTCTTGAGTCATTTACTTCCTATTTTAGTTGATTTCGACTTCAATTCTCGTGTGCTTCTTGTTGTGAAAAACAGAGGAGTCTAGAAAAACTCTTCCTCTGTTTTTGGCTAAGGAATCGGCGGATTTTTTAGGCAGGAAAAAATTGGATTATAATCTTCGGTTATAAGGCATTACTCAAAATAGCAACTGAAGATTCAAAACCCGGCCATTTTCGTTCGACTCAAACAACTCCTACGTTCAAATCTAGTTAAACGAAATTTTCCTCTTTGTGTTATCTTATTCAAAACACTAAAAATTTCATAAGTTGATTCTCTAGTTTCAGAGTTTTTTTTAGAACCAACATTTTTTTAAAGTCATTGTTGGAAGAAGCACGACAGAAAGAAAGAGAATGAGAAATAGGTTGGTTCTCAAACAGAGAGACGATAGATTGCTTTGCAATTTATTAATTCGTTGCAATAAAACTTTGATCTTTGACTAACCTCATTTTGAGTATGAAGTATGAACAGAAACATGAATGCTATGTACGACTAATGTAGATCTAATGACACAATAAACATTGAATTGGGCATATACGTATTTGCATGAGTAAGCCAGAGCTATTCAAATCCTAATAATCACCAGCACTTGTGGTGCTCACAAGAACAATAATTTCCGCATACTCTTTCTACTGTGTGACTAATATTGACCATAAGACTTTCATCTCTCCCTTTTCACCATGGTTGAATAACTTTTCCACTATCTACCCTTCATTGTCATAAAGAACACTACAAAATTGTTCATAAATAAACTGTGGAAACTTATGTAAAAAAATGTCATTGGTACATCAGAGCATTTGTCTAGCCCACCAATGGGAGGATTGTTAGAGATAGCATCCAAAGCTGTAGTGTAGCACACATCTTCCACACACATTAATTAATAAATTTTTTAATAAAAATAAATTAAATCCAAATTTTGACGTCCACAGGAAATAAATAATTATGTAAGGAATTGAAACCTGTGAAAGGACCAACTAGAGAGCAGGGAGAAAGGGACTAAACTTTCCCTAACAAAGTCCCGTGACCAATTAACACAACATCCAGAAATGTGTGAGACAAGTTTGGTGAAGGTGAAAGTGACATTGTATCTAAGACCCAAATTATTACATGCGTTGCTGGTAAAAAAAATTGAATTCCAATGGGGTAAAAATAAAGTGGGAAAAGCCCAAAATTTTGGGTTGGTGGTTAGTGGTTACCATACCACAACAGATCAATATTATCTTTAGTTTTCTTCATATATGATATATATCATAGATAGGTAACAGAAGATAAGAGAATGATTGGTTAGTGGTTGTGGTGTGTGTTCTTTGTTTGGTTTGATTGGGATGATAGGACTTTCATACATCTCCAGAAGAATTATGTTGTTTTGGTTTGTTTCACTGGTTGGATTAATCATACCCGGTGGCAGTTAGGTTGGTTTTTTGTTTGTAGATATATGATTCGAGAAGTTTCGTGAGCAGATATAAAGATTCGTTCGAAGCACAAATTTGAGGTTTATCGAATATCGGTTGGTCTACATATAGTTTTATTATTAATTGTGTTTTGTTTGGTAGATTTACATATCGAGAGTTCAATGAGCGGACATAGAGATTTATTCAAGCATAAGCCTAAGGTTTATTGGAGAATTTGGGGTACGGATCGAGTCGTGTTTTGGTTTCGTATCCTTTCCCATATAGGGAATGATGCTCATAGCCTCATATAGGGGCAAAGTTGTGTCTTTTTTCTTCTGTTTTGAGATTTAATATGGTGCACTTCTCTTATGCATCGTCATCCCCTTGTTAATATACACATAATTAACAAAGGAAAATCATTAGCTGACACGCTATGTTCTAATTAAAATGATTTTGGTCCGACATATATTGACGTGGTATTTACTAATTCATGAATTGGATGAAATATTGTATGAGACTTCCATTTGTCCCGTAGGTGTTCAAATATTCATGCCATCTTTTTTATAAGGTGGTAGCTTATAAAAAAACTAAATGAATAAAACACAAAGGTACGACAAGTCAACAAGTAGGATAAAGAGTAGGTTCATTGGTTTCATTTGGTCTTATATATTCTAAATTTGTTCATATTTTCACTATTCTAAGCCCATTGAATCATGTCCTGACTCCCATAAGAAATTACAATATTCTATACTTCAACTGTAAATTATTAGCCCCAACACTTATTGGTCACAATTTTCAATCCTTTTCATGTAGAAATTATATTCTTTTCGCCTTTTTATCCAAATCAAGGAGTTATTTGCATTATTATTATCATAAGCAAATTAACTAGTGATGAGACCATATATATGAAACCATTTTTTTTTATGTCTCCCTATAATGAGCATATCAAAATTGACTAGTGATCCTAGACCATGATACCCAAAACGCTTATTTTTAGGGCGTGGCATAAAATTAATACCAAATGAGAAAAAATCAAAAGATAATTACATAAACTAAAAGAAAACATAGTGACATAGCCTAAAGTTTCTGCCACCTGCGCCTAGGTTTCTCCATCCATAAACTGATAGAGACCTTCCATCAACCCTATGATCTGCAATATAAACAGAACAGACAGGGCTTTGAACTTTCAGGAACGTACTAATCATATTATATTATCATTAATTCGTGCTTAAGACGACTAACCACAAACAAAAAGGCTAATGATATTGTTAGCAATTTTAATGGGAGCTGATTGATTGGTTCACTTTTGCATTGGTCAATTAATCCCCACATCAAGCTGAAAAGGAATTGGAGGAAATAGAATAATGAAGTTTAAAATAATTTATGGGCTGGTCCATCGGTGGATCGATCCTCTCTTAGTTCAACTTAAAGTTGGTTGTTGATTCGTCAGGCTAGAAAATATGTACCAAAAGTGGAAACATCCAAAATAATTATGAGCATTAATATTTGCAAACCAATAAGCTCCCTGGCCTTCCAAATGCTACGTACCTACTCCAGGGCCATTGTCTCCTATCAAAAGTTGAGTTCATAAACTGCAGTGTGATTGGTTGGTTGATTAAATAGTAAGTCACAGGTGGATTTTGAATGCTCTCTCAAAGACCTAATGGACTTAAAGTTTCGTTAGAAACTCAAATGATACCTAGCTATATCATTTACTAACACGCCCTCTCAAACAAAAACGATCAGGGTGTTGTCAAGATTCAAACACAACATTTATGAATTATCAAAAGATTCTTCTGATACAATGTCAAGAACCAATTAGTTTTCATAGTTCGAGATTTCGAATCATTGAGAGAAGTACAACTATAAATCTTATACTATTTATGTTCATAATGATGTCATGCTTGCTTTCGAGACTCCGGAAAAACAAATCTTGATTGAACCTATATTTGCCCAATGAATTCAATCTGCTCATGGTAAGACTTCATATGGGTTCGATGTACTTTTAATATCAATTTTGGTCACTCGAATTACTGACACATGTCACATTTGGTCACTCTTCTGTAGCCTCTGTCCAACTCCGGTCACTCGAATTATTGAAAAATGTCACATTTAGTCACTCGTATTACTGAAACATGTCACATTTAGTCACTCTCCCAAAAGTTTCCGTCCAACTACATTAATGGAGTTGGACGGAAACTGACGGGAGAGTGACTAAATTTGACCAGTTTCGATAATCCGAGTGACCAAAATTGGTATTAATTTTTTCTAGTGACTAAACATGACACAATTTAATAATCTCAGTGACCAAATGTGTCATTTACCCAAATATTTTGTATTAACCACAACTTTACCTTTCAATTCATATGTAGAGTCATTGTTAACAAGCATATATCGATTTCTCCCAGCGATTAGAGTTCTCTTCATATTAATTGTTGTCAAGCACATGATTCGACGGGTCTGTATAAAATTCAAGCCTATGAACTGATTTTTGTTGGACAGAGAGCATGTAAAAGAAATAATTTACATCTTTACATCAACCTCTCCCAACAAGTTAAATTATTTGGACTGCAAAGTTTGATGGGATTGGGCAAAGGAGCGGGGGAGAGGGGACATGGAAAAACATCAACCGCTCTTAATAATTCATCATCACCAACATTCGTTCATAATCATCGCCACTGAATGGAAGTAAGTAAGTGAGTAACTAGCTAGAAGAAACCAGCCACCACCATAGATCCAAAAAAGCTCCATCGTATCGTTGGTTTGGACTTGGACTGTCCCTGCCGACTACCAGATTCGCTCCTCAATTTGCGGCTGTCGGAACGTAAACCATTTACGGCCTTCTCTTCTCTATCTTCTCTTCCCCATCCCTTTAGTACTACTTTCGCGATCTTTGCATATAGAAGGCCACTTTGGACTTTGGAGTGTTGTGTTGGTGACTCATGGCAGCAGCAGAAGCCTGACTTTTTGGTTGCTTTCCGATGGATCAGGAAAATCCATAAAGGAGAAAGAAAAAAAAAAAAGCGACTGTCGCCATTTGTCGGGAAGACCCACGGGAGCGGTTTACTGTTATTTAGCAGTTAGATGGGTTTCAATGATTCTGCTCGATCGGGTTTTCCTCTTCTTTTTCTACCTTTTCTTCACCCCCCCTTTTTTTTTATGAAGTTGGTTTTTGGGTTTGTTTGATTCTGGAATAAGTCATCTCGATCGAGATTGATATCATTGTAGCTTTTCTGATTGTGTATCATGGTGGACTTTATCGTGTAACATATACACATATGAACCAATGAATTCAGTTTTAAAAATCTATCCACGAGATGAGTTCGTATAACATGCTTTTTTGGCCAGCAGTCAACATATATAAGAGACTGATGAATCACGTTTGTGATACATAAATTAATGAGTTCTTCAAGTGGAAAAAGTAGAGAAAAAAACTGTCATTCATTAGAGCTCAGAGTAGGTTGAATATGTAGGAAATTAAAATAAAATGTTATTTGTCGACTGTATATCTCTCTATAGTTGCATTTGTATCGGGTATTTCTACATATCAAGTCTTTTCCTCCCTGTGTGAGGTCTTATATTTGTTTGAATCATATAAGTTCAAATAGCAAGTCATACATATGAAAAATAGGGGTGGAGAATGAAGAATTAAAAGGATGTATATGTCACGAAAAAAATTATAATGGTTTATTTTTGTCTTATATTGTACCTCTTTAGAGTTAAGTTCCAACTTGCAACAATAATCAAGAAATAAACTCATTCACTTCAACTCTGGATGGTCAAAAGTACTCACCAACTAGTGTATTCTCAAGTATTGGCTCCAAAGTCAATTCATCTACTAATTAACAAAACATGCGTAAATGGAAAAGGAAAGAAAAATATTTTGCTCCATTGTTTTAAATCACCATGAAATAGGGTTGTATAATGATTCTGTCCATATCGAACCACATCAATATTTACATACCAAATCAGTTTAAATATAATTTGGTTTATTTATCAGCTCCATAAATTTTTTGAATATTTAAAAAATGGAATTGAATCAAATTTTGGATTACAGATTAAATTTAAATATACTTTCGATCTGAATACAAAAAAAAACTTATTGTAAACTAGTTCCATCTTGATGCGATCCGATTTTAAACCGAATCGAAGTATTGCACACCTCTAATCCTGACAAACACAAACGTGCAAGTAAAATGAAAGTGGGAACTTCATGGATGAGCCTGGATGTTCCAATTGGGCCTTGTGGTTAGGTTGGGCTACTCTTGGTTGATGGATCAACAAAGAGGAGTGAATTGAGTGGATCTTTGTTAAGGCCTTGTTGGACCGAAAAGTCAAAGGTTGCCTTGAAAAGATTGCATGAATCAGGCAGGCCTGGATCAACATAGTCTAAGACTTGACCAGCCCAGCAAACCGAGCCCAAGACAATGGGTTGTGTTAGGAGAAGCTAGCCTCCGATTCCAAATGTTGTATTCTCAGTATACATGTATCATAAAAATACAACGTTTTTTTGACTTGATGTAATAGCAGAATGCATGTATTCATAATACATAGAAAATGATGTATTCATAATCTTACCTTTTTGGTGAGATTTGAGTATCCATATATAGTTCATTTAAACTATAATACATGCATTCTTTTATGAGTTCCAGACAATGAATTTTCAAAACCACACATTCTTAGTATATATACACATAATCTTTAATACATACATTCTCGTAAATACATCATTTCCAGAATCGAAGGTTCCAAACAACCCCTAAGTATCGTTTGAAACCTGCGGAATATGACGTTTTTTTATTTGTTTTAATCACGAATACATTTATAGAGAATACCTTATGTATTCATAATACATAGAAAATGATATATACTTATAATCTTACGATAGAATGAATACTTTAATAATACAAAAAAAATATAATTTTGTATTCTAAAGCGTCGTTAATTCAAATATCATAATTATCATCTTGTAACTTATAATTAAGTTCGGTGTCTTAACAACATAGTGCGACTCTACACTATCACAAAAAAAAAAAAAAACATAGTGCGACTCTACAGTAATATATTTGAGTATCGTCAAATCCGATTCCGATCGAGAGCATTATTTTTCTCAATCTTTACAGGCAATGCATGTGCATGCATGGCAGTGATGGCACTCTGAACCGACTGATCGTACCATGACGTCGACGGGCTGGCAATGTTGATTCCTGGTCGCGTGAGCCGTCGGCAGGCTGGCAAGCCGTCGGCAAGTTATTTCTGTTTATACCCGCGCGTGTGTATAGGAAACTGGCTGCGCGTGGGATAGGGCTTATTGTGTCTCTAGTCAGCAGTTGCAATAATGGGAAAATTCCACCAGTTGGTTGCTCACAGTCACAGTCACAGCTTATGCCAAATAGCAAACAATCTATGCCCCACTGGCCGGCCGCTGTAATCTAATCCTTCCATTTGCTTCGGTCCCAATTCCCGAAGTCTCTGCCTCCAGAACAGAAGTCCCCGATTCTTCCTCCCCACTGAAAACCGCGGCAAAGGGGTCGCTTGATTTTGGCGGGTAAGTTCTGTATCCATCAACCAGCTGGTTTTGACCTCTCTGCTGGCTTCTGCTATGTGAAACCCGTCCGTTTCGTGGCTTTTCTTCTTTCGATTTTTTGCTGAAATCGTTTTTCATCGAATTCTGCTCTGGAGAAGAGGGAAGCTTCTTCTTGGGTTATCTCAAAGTTGATCAAGAGATTGCTCTGGGGTGAAAAAGTAAAGAGTCTTTTATTACTGTTACAATCTTTGATTCTCCCATGGCTCCATGCTTAATTATTTACGGTTACCTGCTCTCAAAGTTTGCAAAACCCTGTTTCATGCTCCATTGGTGTAGTGGGCTAGGAATGCACAACAGCAATTTTTGGGATTGCATAGATGAACTAGTACTACAGAGATCCCATACAACCTTACCAAATTGCTCTGTCTGTCTGTCTGTCTGTCTAGAGTGAGCTACATTCCCTAGAGTGAGCTAGCCCTGATATGAGATGTGACGAGACAGAGGACCACTGAAATTTATGGACCTTGCGATGATAATTCTATTATTTACGTCCTCTGACTTTTTTATCTTATCTCCTCTAACCCAAATATTGGCATTTTCCTTGCAAATGGGAATGAATCCTAAGGCCATTTATCTCTGTGGTAGCTAGGTATTGAAGTGAAGAAATGGTACTAGGTTGCTGATATACTTTATATGCACTTCTTCTTCTTCTCTTGATCAAGTCTCCAGGTTCCCAATCCGCAAAACCATGTCTCCTGGTGGTGGGTATACAATTGAAGTAACAAGCTTGTCTCATAAAGCTACAGAGAAGGATGTCCGCGATTTCTTCACTCACTGTGGTACAGTTGAGAACATCGAAATCATCAGGTAAATGTATCCTTTAAGTAGAATCCTAATTAATGCTCGTTCACGCATTGGATTACCCGACTCTTGACGACTCAGGCACTATCTTTTCCATACCCGTTCTGCTGTTTGAGCTTCTGAGCTCGGCCGGATTGCAGCATGTGTTATTTGACACCTTTGAGTCTGTTCTCCCCCCCTTAAGTCTGTCTTGCATTTTCATCTGATGCTTTTGTTAACATATGCTGAGTTGTTTGTGGAGACAGATCTGGTGAATACGCTTGCACTGCGTATGTGACATTTAGAGATCCCTATGCTCTTGAAACTGCCATCCTCCTCAGCGTAAGTTCCCATTTTGCATGTTGCAGACAGTGGAAAACATACATAATTGATGCGGATGGTTCTCTCAAATCCCTATTTTACTGCTAGTTTCTTTTGCCTGTTCTCTTTGTATGGTTTGTAATTTGTAATTCTGCAATGTAGTGACAATTAGTTAGCCAAGCCATCTATATATCTTCCTGCTTTCCCATCAGTCTAATAGTTCAATCTTGTCTTATGCCACTCTTTTCCTCCAGGGAGCTAGAATTGCAGATCAACCTGTGTGCATTTCACTTTGGGGCACCCAGATATGTGAATCTGACAATCCTTGGAACAGCCCTTCCAGTTCCTGGCAACCTGAAGGCAGAGCTTACCATGAGGTTTTGCCTTCAATTACACACTCATCTTGTTACAGTTACTTTTGTTCCCTTAATCTTACAATCAGACTTCTCTAATCTCCACAGGCAACTCATCATGTGAACCACTTGGCTTCCAGCCCAGGGGAAGCCGTGACAGTGGCACAAGAAGTGGTGAAAACGATGCTGGCAAAAGGATACGTCTTGGGGAAAGACGCGCTGGTGAAGGCCAGAGCGCTGGACGAATCCCACAAGGTGTCGGCTGTTGCTGCAGCGAAAGTGGCCGAGCTCAGCAGCAGAATCGGGCTGACGGAGTCGATACAATCAGGGATGGAGACTGCGAGATTTATAGACGAGAAGTACCACGTGTCGGACATCACCAAGACGGCGGTGCTGTACACGGGAGCGGCAGCCGTGACTGCAGCCACCATCACGGGCCGGACCGCGGCTGCCGCGGCCCATGCGGTGGTGAACAGCAGTTATTTTGCCCAGGGCGCGGTCTGGGTCTCGGATGTTCTGGGCCGTGCGGCCCATGCAGCCGCGGAGTTTGGACATAAAGGGAGCAAATAAGCTAGGGGAATGGGTTAGTGGAAGATAGTTATGTGTGTTGGTGAATAAAAAAACGGTCCATTGTTTCATTGTTTTTGTATCATTTTTTACTAGCCTATCTCTACGCATGAATGATGTTAAAAATCAAGTCTAATCAACTGTTTTATCAGTTGAGTTTTTCTCTGGTTTTCTACATATGACCGACCCGACTTTAGGATATCTGTTCGAGGTTATCTCATTTTTTGAAAATTTGTTGGTTTATTGTCGTTGTTGAGATCGCAATGGTAAAATGTTACATCTCAGGATAGCTACTAGGCTGATATATGCTTTTGGAATGACACAATCAACGCAATCCGTGTAGGAAGGAGAGAATCTTTTGTTTAGCATTTGGGTGTAAAGAGGAGCTATATATGTAGTGTTGTTGTCTTCTAAGAAGGACCACTGCCACTCACATGGCCACACGTTCCCTAGATCTTCTTTTTTTTTTGGTCAAAAAATGGGACGCTAAAAGGGCGTCCCTGCCTGGCACTTAAATTAAACGGGTTTGGGCAATGCCCATAGAGTCATACATGAACCAGAAGTTAAAACCGGAATCGTGAATATCAAGCGGATGAAGGCCTAAAGTAGCAGAATGGCCTTTATTGGCTAGGTAGTCAGCCAATTTATTACTTTCTCTGTAGGAATGAGAGATTACAACCTCCCAATTGCGGTGAAGGAGCTCCTTGAGCTGCCCGATCAGAATGTGGTATCTATTGTTGCTGTGCTCCGTCCGGTTGATCAGAGAAATCGCCGTAGTGGAGTCCATTCTCAACTGAATCTTCCTGAAACCCAGACGCCAAGCTAATTGCAAACCTTGGAGGGCACCTTTAAGTTACCCTAGATCTTCTTCAATTCAGTACCAGACAGCCACTTAAATGGATGAAAGGAATAAGAAGAAGGAATCAAATCCAAGAGATGGAGGGTGGATGGATGGATGGATGGATGGTTCAGTATAATGAATGATTTAGCCTGAAAATTCCTGCTCGTTTATGTCAACTAAGATAGAGTCCAGCAATAGAGAGGATAAACTGGTCCCCTGTTTTTCTCTTCCAAGTTCCAATCTGCCAATTGCCAACTCCTTCCTACTACTCTAATTACCAGGATTGAATGCACTTCATAATAAGGAATCTGAGATGAGCTCACCTTCCTTTATTTTTCTGATAGTATTGGAGGATATAAGAGTTTGAACAATGACATATGTGAATTGGATAATGATCACCCCACATTATATGATAAAAAAAACTAATATTCTGAAGTAGGTGCACTATTGTGAAGAGACCAACCGATGTGCCACATGCCCATGTTAACATAACATAAAAATGTACAAAACAAGATAAAATCATTTGCACCGTTCAGTGGTTGTGTTGTCACCCGTAATGCTTGAAAGATATATGTGCACTCTAAACGGTAGATGGATCACTAATGAGTAATTAGTGGATTGTGTATGAAGAGGTTTATGATAGTGAGTTCAAATATGAGAAAAAGGAGGGGGAGGGCTTCTCTTCTTCCTAGCTAGTTTAGTACTAGTAGTACCCAATCTGATATGAAACCCAGCTGTAAGTTCAGGCAGCTACTAGGGGAACGTGAGAGCTTAGAGTTGCCACTTTCCCTTAGCACCTTTTCTCGACAACTGTCACTTTCTTTCGGTAGCAAAACAAACATCAGCCTCACTCACCCACATGCATATCATCGTCACAAACTAAAATATATCGCCACTAGCTAGTACTAACAGTACAACTTGTGACCAAGAAAAGAGAAACAAAATCAATGTGAAAGAAATAATAATAATAATAGACTATTATATATGTTTGAGCACAAATACCAAATGCTATGTATATAATCACAAAGTAATTTTGTAGTAGATTATCCAATCCATCAAAATTATAAATCATATTCCATTATATTGTTGTATTATTCATGTGTTTCGATTAATCAATGATCAGATTAGTGTACGTTTCTACACCGAAATTGACTGTAATTCAGGAAGAGAAAGAGAATATGATTGGGTTAGGGCCCAGGTCCAGTAGATTGGCGGAGCTGTTGTTGTGACCAGCTGGCCCAGTTTTGTTCTTGAAAGCAATTGCAATGCTAAATATATATATGTAAGCAGCAGAGATATCCGTTTGTGAGTTTTGTTGTTTGTTTGCTTGTTTCTTTTTAGCCTTCTCCTTTATCCTCCTTGCAGGTTGCAGCTACAGAAACTGGTGATTTGATCTTGGTGAATGGCCATGGGTGTGGGGTCTGGAGGACCTTGAGGGACACGATTTGATATTGGAGGTTGAGAGAGCAGGTGACCATAAATGTAATCACATATTTGGCACAACATCAACTTTGTAATCATTGTATGGGTCAGGAAGCAATCGTAAATCGCGCGTGTTATCAAAGAAAGGTGTACATGTATGAGCCAATGTTATAATCAAATCAGACGTCTGGATACTTGTCGTCGGATTATCAAGGATCAATAGGATGTCTGAATTTTTAAAGATTGATTTTCACCAATTTGATGCATAATATGAAGGTCGATATGTGATCCCGTGTAATACGTTCAAACACGATCTAAGAGGGTTTGTGATCTTTTTCAACCAAGCTTTCTCTATTCCACTGGTGCTCACGTATTTTTCATGAGGAGAATATGTGTGTTGTTCGGTGTTTGGTGTATTGGAGACTATAAACTCCAAGTTTCTTTGTACACAAGTTTTAGCTACAATTCATATGTAAACCGTAATTAGACTATGTATCCACCCATTTAGTCTTTTTCAGGTTTGAGTAGTATTGGACTCCATAATTTAATCATTTACAACTAACCCACACGAACAAATACATAGTATAATCCTTCGTGTGTTCTTATTACGCCTCCTGCTGCTGCATTGTCGCTTGCTGGATTGTTGACAGGAAAACTACAACCCATGTAATAGGAATTAATTTTACCAACGTATTAAACATTTAGATATTCTATAAAATTGATGCCTAAAAGTAATGATACATAATCTTCCATATGTAAGTTAATTTGCCACTCAAGTAATCGGTTGACATTTTCATTTATAATATAACCGCTCTATTGTTCCCAATTCTTTCATATATACATGACTAGAAAAACAAGTTGCTTCGGTTTGTTTCCCCCCCCCCCCCCCCCCCCCCCACCCCCACAAATATTTGTTATGAGATGTTGGATACATCACACATCTAGGAGAATCTGCTAGCAAGCTACAACGTCATTTTCTCACTTTGCATACAATGAAGTGAGCATTGGACAGCAATGTTTCTGTTAGGGCATTATTATATACAACGGGAAACAATGTCTTTGAACCCAATCAACAAAGACTTCACCATAACAATAAAATAATATACCCAACACAAGAAAGGATTTTAATCAATTCAATTAACAAAGACAGTTGACGGCGTTGGTGGTGAAAATTGAATTTAATTACATGTATTAATCCTTTTGATAGTAATTAGGTTAGGTCATAGGTGGGTTCATTTCTGTGTATTTAATTTAGTTGGGTAGTTCATTTTCATAATAGTTGGGGTTGCTTTCAGAAATAAGTAGAGGACCGTGGCGTGTAAGTTGGAGGGAAAAGCAGTACTTTTTAGGGATGGCAATTTCGACCTGACTCGATTTACCTGACCTGTTTAACCTGTTTTGGGGCGGGTCAAACCCGCCCCGTAGGTGGGGTGGGGCAGGCATGGGTATCTCTCATCGACCCGACCTACCCCATTCTCGACCCGTTCTTGCCTAAATTACATGTAATCTTAGTCAAATTACTTAAGATTTTCCTCTTATTACATTATATTTTATCTATAATAAAGTTGTAAATAAGTGAAAATCTCAATTTCTTCAATAATTTAACTACATTTTATCATATTATGGTTTCTTTTTTGGTCTTTCATTGAAAAGAACGAATATTTCTAATGTTTTTCACATAAATTACATACTCATTGGGTTGACCTGCCCTAACCCGCGCCCTGTGATAAATTACCCGAACTGGACCCGACCTGCCATGGGACGGGTATGAGTATCGAGATACCCACCCGTACCTGGCCATTGTCATTCCTACTTTTTAGTACCTACATATCCTTTGAATTGAAATCCGCAATTAGTTGAACATGTCCTTCGAAAGCAATATTAGTAGGCCTAGTTGGTAACCACTTACTCCTCTTCTGCATTTTCCCTTTTGTTCTATAATTGATGACTTAATTGTAATTGCAAAACATTAATTTATCAGCCATCTACATTTTGGAAATGATAATTTTGATTTGATTTAATTTACGCTATTTATCTTGAGTGGTTTAATTTTGAGGTGAAAGAGGTAGATATGAATTTTTCCCCCCGCTTTGTTCCATCCTAACTCGTTCCATTCTCAATTTTTATATCTAAAATTTACCCAATATCTAGTCAAATTACTTTTTTTTTTATAAAGATGATGATTGCATTAAATTCAAACTACTTGTATTTGTTAAGTTATATCACACCAACTCGAATGTAGTTACCTTTAAGTGAGAGATTCAGTTTCTTAAAATAATTTGAGCACATTAATTATGTCATCTCTCAATTTTGTATAAAGAGTATTTTTTTCCCCGTGATGTTTCAACCAAACAATAGATTTGTCTTGACTTTGAAACACATATTCGAATGGGTCCATCGCCCTTGACATATGCGAATTCCATCTAAGGATGAGAAAGAGCTCTGCTCTCTTAGCCAAAAATATCCAACCTATCATGGAACATATGTCTGGGTACTAAGCTATCTGCCCATCCTAACCCCATTTTTATTCCTACTAAATAATCTTTTCATTCTTTATTTTCTAAAAAGTGTTGAAAATTTTGTTAACAATTTTCACTCCTTATTTGGATGGAGGCATTTCGCACAAATCACACTATTGATTTACGGACAGTCATATTATGCAATCCCTATAATTATCGGTCATCATAGCAGAGTCGACAATCATAAAAACCGAAATACGACTTAACTCTGATTTAGGGTCATTCTATCACTTATAATTTTGTTTATTCAAATACATGGTGTTCTCTTCCAGAGGAAAACTAAGAAATGAAAAATGAAGAAGATTAGGACATATGTCAAGAAATTATAAAAATCAAAGAGGGAGGAAGGATTGACCATTTGTCTCCTCTTCCCCCTATTTAAGGTTTAGAAGACACCAAATCCAAATGCATAACTTGCCTTCACGCCTAGCATGTTTGGTCCATTAATAATAAACACATTCTTATTCTTCCCTACCCAACTAATCCTGCTGGTGCACTTAAGAAATCTAGTGGCCGACTTTCGGGAGAAATTCAGGGAATGCTTTATTTGCCGTGCTGTTAGTGCTGGTTAACAAGTATTCTTATTTTTTTCCGAATAGAAAATTAAAAATTTTCAATGTATCACATACGAATTTAGATAATTACTAATAAGCATACCGTATGCGATCTGCACAAATTTCTAAATCCAAATCTCCATTTCCATTTCCTCCTCTGACGATTAATGTTTTCCTAAGTAATTAATTACATAATTTGTCCATTAATCACATTTTTTGGATTAACGAATCACATTTCTTTGATCGACAATTATTTTTGTCGATTAACTCGTTGTTTGTTAGTTTAGTGACTAAATCACTAAACATTCTGCCGTTCGCAACTGATATTCGTATTGTGCATAAGATGATTTTACACGTGATTGTATAATTTATTAAGCAACATTATTAACAACTTAATCCACATAATTAATTAATTAATATCAATACCAGGATTCTGCACATTATTATATATAAAACTGCAGATTAGCTTGTGCAACAGGGGAGACCAGTGTTCAATAAAAACTACTAAATGCAAAATAAAATATGGGTTTCATGTTGTGGGCTGCCTGTCTTAGTAGTCAGTAGACAGTAATAGTATTGGTGCATAGGAGTTAGTGCTGTGACAGCCCACCATTATACCATCAACCAATCTTCCCTGTAATTTACTTCTAAAATAGGTCGTATTTCTAACAATTTTGTCGGTGGATATAGTTTGAGGAATAATTTGTCAGTAAAGGTTTTCATTAAATTAATTTTAGAGTTTGAATTTTCAGGTTAGGACCTAAGATTTGCTTATAGCCTTCCATTGTACCATCAACTCACCCTGGGTAATTTACTTCTAAAATAGGCCATATTTCTAATGATTTTGCCGGTGGATATAATTGATGAATGATTTTTCAATAACTGTTTTTATCAAATTAATTTTAGGGTTTGAGTTTTGAGGGTTAGGACCAAGATTTTCTTACTAGATGTTAGGATATATTACTATAATCCAACCCCATACTAATTCATAATTTATCCAACCCCATATTGTTACTTCTCCTCAGATTAATGAAGTACTATATATTACTCAAACAATGGAGATAATATAATGAAAACAATTCATTATTTATATAATTTATATAGAATGAAAATAATATTAAATCTAGAAAAATATAATTTAAACGATTACATTGGAGATTTTATAATTAGATCAAAATACTAATCTGATTGGAAGGTAAGAGTTTGTGGCACAGTGAACAACTCATAACACTCTCAAGCTTCAACCTTGATCCAAAGGGTTGAATGAAAGACATCAAAGGGAACCATACATACCAAAGCAAGCCTTCCTCATGACCACGTAGAATCATACTAATGTACAAATAGATTCTTACAATCACATTGAACTAGACACAAAGGGGTTGTTTAGACTTTAGATGAGGCAATCTAACCCTATTGCTCAAATGTAACAATTAACTCCAATTGCCTCGTTTGGAAACACATAACAGTGATGCAACAATTAGCTTATGCAATTTGAATTGTTTCGTTTTGCATCAATTTGAATTACCATAAAAGGAGATAAATATTAATATAACATGAGATAATTTCAAGACAATTAGATCAAATTACCTCATGTCTAAAATCAATCATCCAAACGAGCAAAAGATCCATATACTTGAGATTTGCAACTTTTCAAGACATCTTTCACTCCTAAAGTACCAAAAACATTTGAAAATTCAAACAACTATCATTACAGAAGCTCAATGGCTTCTTAATAAAGCACCACTACCCCTTCCTTTTGTGGCAGCCACTTTGAAGTTTCTGCCCAAAATGATGACACTAAGTGGAAAGCGATTAAGTGAAAACCCAAAATGCAGCCCATTCATCAACTTAATGATGGCATTGGATAAACCATTACAAATTTGCAATGTCACAGTAATCAATTGGAAAAATTATCTGTTATTTCTCCCCACTATACCTGTAAGTAGTAAGTATTACATTACTTTCATTCATAAAAAAACATATATAAACCCCAAAAATCAAGACCAACCCATCTGATCTCTGTACAAACCCAACCCAAACCCACAAACCAAATCACAGATTAGAACCAACCCAACCTGAAACTGCATCATCAACAAGTAAGAACTAAACTGAACTTCAATAGCAGCAGATTGGGCATCGAATTAGTCCATTCTCATTGCAATCAGGACACCTCTGAAACCCATAATCACCACCATTGATCCCCTCTTCTCCTTCCAACCCTTCTTCTTCATCCTCTAGTTCTTCATCTTCTTCTTCCTCCTCTTCATAGTATATCTTACAACTCCCATTACAAGTTTCACAAGGCACAAACCTTATATCACCACAAGCCTCACAACTCCCACCACCGTCCTCTGCCTCAGCCTGCTCGCACCCTTCCACCGCCTTCTCAAGCTGCCCTTCCTCGTGCAAGCGCCGTACTTCCTCTGCCCCACCAATGTACTTCTTCCCTATGAACACCCTTGGCAAACTAAACCCTCCACCACAGCCTCCCAACAGCTGCTTCAGCTCTTCCTTGAACCCCGAATGCATCGATACATCTCGTTCGTCCACTCTAACGCCTGCTCCCTTCAGGATCACCCTCACGTAGCAACTGTCCTCGTACGTCTTCCTCACACCACGTAGGCTCGTGAAGTAGACAATCACTCTGTCTTTCTCTTTCGCGGGCTTCTTCAAATGGTAAGGGTGGCTTGGGGAGAGCTCCTGCATCGACTTCCTGAACATCGAGATGATGTTCGAATCGAAGTAGTCCTTCCCACCTTTTCCCAAATGCGGCTTCTTATCAATTGCTTCTTCCTCTTCTGCTTCTGCTTCTGTTTCATCGATTGATCCGACTTTGAAATGAGTGGCGTTTACCTGATGGTTGAAGCTGAGTTTGGGGCTATCGACGACGGTGGCTTCGCGGGTGACATCGAACGAGAAGCTTCGAATGTGGTTGGGTAATCTGCAAGGGCTGGTGAAACGATCTTCTTCCAGGCCTTCCATTAATTCCCAGGTGTTGATCGTCTCTGGCTCTCCCGGTGGAGTCATGATTGGGGTTTTGGGATGATGATTGGGTACTCGTGGGATCTTCTCCTCGATCATTTTGGACCAGGTCTTGGCTTCGATTAGCCCCATTGCGAACTCTTCTTGGCTCTTAATCGTCTCCGGTGGCAACCAATCTTCATTGCTGACGCCGGTGGCTGCGGTGGTGGCCTTGGGAGAATCGACCTGGCCTCCGTCATTCACCGTCTCGAGCTTGAGAGAGCCGAGGGTTGAGGAAGTTAGGGCTACCAGATGGTAGCTGTCGGATTTGTACTGCGGCGGGTGGATTACGTGCATCGAGTAGCTTCTGGGCACTGGGGAATACGGAGCTTGGCAGTGCTTGCATCGCTGCTTGTGCTGCTTCGAAGTCACACAACCCATTTCAACCGAATCCCCCCTAAAAGAGAATTCAGCTCCAATCCAGAAACCAGAGCTGAAAAGGATGGAAAAGTCTGCGACTTTTGGCTATTGAGAGCCCTGATGAAGTGGATTTTGGGGAATGGGGTTAAGATATGATGAGAGGAAACATCCTTCCATAGATGAGCTGGAACAGTCTCCTTTTGAAACCCCCCCTGGTTTGAGATTCTCGATAAAGAATTCTATTGAATAATCGGAAACGGAAAACACAAGGAAGGCCGGATGGAATGGAATTTGACAAATGGATTGAGGATGATTGTCAGGGATTTCCTCAATAATAATAACTAAAAAATTAAGCTCCTCTGGAGAAAAAAAACAGAGGGAGATGATCTGAAAGAGAAATCAAATTGATGAACCGAAAAACCCAGAATCTGGAAAGAGGAAAAGCCGTCTGAAATTGGGTCTGGCTTGAAGTAGACGGTTGAACAGATGCTGAAGAAAAGAGCTTCGAGCTATGGCGGAAAACGACGAGATACTGGATTGAAAAGTGGGGTGGATGGATTTTTGTTTTGAGAAAGAAGATTGAGGGAGGAAGAAGAGAAAAGAGAGACAGAGATCTCGGGATCTGCCCTCCCTAAAAGACAGACGGAAAGAGAGAATGCCCCGTGATTGCGGAAGATGGGGTGAATTAGAAATCCGAATGAGAAAGAAAGAAAACGATGATTCTAAGAAACAGGAAATGTGGGCGGAGAAAGATTACAATAGTCAACAATAGGCGGGCCGGCGGGGCTACAAAAACCAGACCACCACCATCAACGAGAAGAGGCGGCGAGCTCCGTTGGAAGCTGCATTTGCCCCTTCTCCCCCTCTCCCTTTGATCCCACACTCTATTTTTTCCTCCCCGACTACCCAATACGATAAGGGAAATCGGGTTGTGGCCAGAAATCAGAAAAGCCAAGTCTTGAGAGGGTTTTCCAAAACTTTTTTTTTGTGTTGGCTGAAGAAGACGGAAGGAAGAAAGTAAGTGTGAGAGGAAGAGAGGGAAGTTGGAAGCTTTTTGGGGCAGAATAAATGGGAAAGGACGGAAAAGTAAGGTAGGAAAGGAGGAAGAAAGAAAGGGATGGAAGGCGGGGAAAAAGAAATGGCGGAGGAGATTAGTGCTTGAATGCCTCTCTTCTACCCTTTGCCGTCTCATTCTCTTGTAATTTTATCATACGACATGGCAAAAATGACGTTAGCTAATGACTTGTGTGCTTTGGCAGTTTAAGTTTTGAATTGATTGATTAACGTTGGGATCAAAAATTAAATGATGATTGTTATTTATTATTATAGCATGAAAGTTTCAAACTTTGGGTTTGCCCTCAACCTCATGTTATATTTATTATTAATTACTATCGTTTTCTTTCCCAGGTCGGATGTAGCCTTGTACCTTTATAATTCCTTTTTTACTTCTTTTTGGTAGGATTATAAGTAAGCAAAAAAATGCCTCAAAATAGCCGATGAAGTTCAAACTGTAGCTTGGATTACTCGTCAAAGAGAATGAAAAATCAAGTCAGAGTTTTATTCTGACATGCAGGATATTAAAATACTATGTAAGAATACTTATTCTGACTTGCAGCAATAAACTGCAAAGTGAAGTAATTTGATTAATTTTCCCTTCCACTATTGGAAAGGATGTTGAAAGTAATCGAACAAGAACAGCAGCAAGATTAGAAGGATTAAATGAACTTTGAACTCGTAGTATCAGTCTTATACTATGGAATTAGTGGCAATGTGAACCCCTCAGTTGGATCGAGTTTAGTCGCACATATATGAAGCGCGTGATCAAATAAAAACTCATTTGTTTCAATAATCTTCCTCACTCACAAATTTCTCTCTTCTTAAGTGAGTCAATGGAAGAGCCTTGACTCCAAAATGTAAATCCTGCCACCGATCGATAAAATCTATAGTACTTGAGAAAGGCACAATGCAAACCGTACTGGAACTGCAGCAGGAACCCACTCTCATTCTGATGATACCAAGCGTGATCAAAATCGAGCCGGCTCATGAAGCTCGGCAGGGCATCAAGTCTAAATAGGAGACTTGATAGTCTATCAAGGTCACAATTTTCTAGGCCCAGATTGCGAACTGCAACCGAGGTACCCTAAATGTTACCAACTAATATACTGACCTAATATCTGTTAGACGAATTGGACATTCTCGGATTGAAGAAACTCCAAGGCGTAGTCCTGGAATCATATCTAGAGGCAGGAAATGCAATCCAGATAGAATAGACAGGAAGTTCAGAAATGGAGAGACAAAAACAATGTAGCCGAGACAGCTTACCACAACCAACTTGGAAGCACCGTCTTCCAAAGATCATCGAATCATCATCAATAATACATCCGAGCAACTAACAAGTTCCAGAAAACTTCATATCCATGGCGGGCTATTTGAAAAGGTCACTTTTGAGCCCCAAATTTGGCATCCAGTTCACAATAACAAACCGCAAACAAGTGACACCTAAGAAGTTCCAACTCTGAAGCACATAAGCAAAATAAGAGTAATAGCTGTTTATTCCGCCTTACCAGACAACACTATAAAAAACTTAGGACAGTTAGTAAATATTAGACCTTTCGAATAAGCTTTCGACTCTAGCAACCCAAACACATCCCCATAAAAGGCTCTCGGCACCCAACATTGGATACTGATCTAGATATTAAAACTCACATGAAATCATAATCATCAAGCGCATCATATCCCGTCACCACAATATCATCATCCGGCTTATCCACATGCAACTGCTTCTTCTTCCCACCTGCAACAAGAACCCGAATCAACAAACAACAAAAAGAAACGAGATGACTTCTGGAAGAGCAAAATCAAGACAGTGACCTGTCTTCTTTTTGCCAGCATTGGCTTCTTTCTCTGCTTTGAGCTTTTCATTTGCAATTGCAGTAACTGAAGACGCCACCTCTTTTGCATCTGCTGCTTTCAAACTAGTCATTGAGTGTCTCATCACAGTTTTGAGCAGAGAGATAAAATGGTAGCTTTTCTGCAGTTTTCAAACCTCACAAATATCAGTAAAACGGGGCATCACTATTTCACCACAAAAAATAACAGGCCTCGCCCTTCAAATACAAAAAAGAAACAACAAAAGCTATAAATCAACGCACCTCATACAGGCGGAGCCTTTGGGAAATGAGCTCTGCGTACTCCAAGAAGTCACTTTCTGATTTGGGGATGAAATTATCAATGTTCTTTTCATTGGTGCTCGACTTTGAACCAAACAATTCCTTAGTGTTCCGGTAGTCAGCTTCTTCCACGAGCCTATAGAAAGGAACAATCCTTATTGAGACTGCAACTTAAAAGATCATTAACAAAATGTAGCATTGACCAGCAGACAGTGAAATCGCATTCACTGGTAGACTAGATTTAAACTGTCACACTACGATATGAAGTATCTATTTCAAAGGATATGTTTCAAGCATGCAACTGGCTTGAGCAAAGTGAGATCACACCATATTAAACGTTATACTTTCAAGCTCGCTTTTAATCATACATCATGGCAATGAAAATTAAATAGAAGCCAATCTTTAAATTTTATATGATAAGTTAGCGTTCAATTTGGAAAACAAAGTCTAATACCTTTGCTGGCGAAGCTTTTCTGCTACGGGGTCTAGTGGTGGCTCTTCCTTTGCTGGTTCAACAGTTTTTTCTTTTGTAGACTTTAACACAGGCTTCTTGGGGACCTTTTCTGGCACAGGTTTTGATGCAGGCACCTGATACAGAGCATCATTGAGTTACATAAAAACTTTAAATGACACTGAACAGTATGAATATCAGTGGCATAGCTACCAAGGTAAGCAAGTAAGGGGTTTAATGAAGTCCAGTGATTGAGCTTTAGTATATATTTGGTATTGGACTGTTATTTGGTATGATGCCAGGCAACTGCTTAAGCTTATGTTGAAGGTTATATTTTTAGCTCGTACTTTCAGGAATTAAGATCATTACCTCTAGTAACTGGGAATATACATAGAAGATATCATACTAAACACTAAATATTAATAATGCATCTTTTGATTTCCAAGTCTTGAAAGAGTTGCTCTATTTCTAGAGTTTGTAGATCCACAAAACAGATTGATCAAAGAAAAAAGGGGTGAAAAGGGAAATTAGGAGGATTTCCTAGTGAAAGGACCACTGTGAGATACTATTCAGGCCCATAACATGCTGCACGTGGACTTGCTAAGGCATTTAGCCTGCCCTTGACATTATACTGAATTCATCTAAGACACTTTTTAATGATCTAAGGACATCCACCTATGCCAAATACACTTTGCATGAAAATAGGGTATTGACAAATCCATGAGCACACAACAATTTCTCAAGCCATGTGTTCACACATTCCAGCAATGATGACTTAAATGCCTTTTCTAGCCACAGAGTAAGTAACTGCCTGAGATGAGCAGCGCCTTCAAGATAGTAACACTGAAGCTCGTGCTCTGTTTGCTGCTTTATGTATGTTGCAGTAGTAACTAAACATTTTTCAGCATGTTCAAAAAGAAACATCGCAATGCATGAATATCCAGATTAGATGCTTAAGATCATAGTAAGACCATTAATCATACCGTGGGTGATTCATCTTCATCTTCCCATGATTCCTTTATCTCATCTTCATCCACATCTTCATCATCCCATTTGCTTTTAGGTTGCTCCTTCAAAAGCACAGGTTGAATTTGCTCATCCTCTTCAACGTAAACAATAAGAAAATGTATCAGGTCAGCATATTGCCGGCTTAGTGATATCACAATAGGAACTTTGAGCATCTTCGTCAAGCAGCAATCCTAGCAAGTAACAATATGATTAAGTAATATTTACGTTGAGTTGCAGAACTCCATTAAAAACCACTATAATTTATCAACAGTTGCCAGAGACACTAATGGAACCAAGTGCACGGTCATGCTTTGATGGTACGTTATAGTAGAATCTCTTTTCATATTTCCACGTTAACGAAGGCTTTGATACAGATAAAGTTTTTCAGCTAA